GAATGATTCTAGAGCCCTGGATACTGAGCGTGCATTCTACAATACAATACATTAATTTTGTCAGACGCTCTGCAACAAATCCTCCTTTAATGTTTCTTATGGGCCAGTGAGTGTGTTTTTGTGTTTGCGTTGAAGTTCATTTAAAATAATATAAAAATATGTCTGGCCAATCCGGGGCCCCTGCACACGTGGGGACCCTAGGCAAGCCTGTGCATTAATCCATGCATGATAATAACATTAAAAATTCAAATCCAGATTTGAATTTTCAAAGATTTATTTAAAAAACTGATTATTTTTCCCAAAATGCAATAAAATCCATATAATCAATATAAATTGATTATTTTTCATATTGAAACTGTGTGTTTTTGTGTTTGCGTTGAAGTTCATTTAAAATAATATAAAAATATGTCTGGCCAATCCAGGGCCCCTGCACACGTGGGGACCCTAGGCAAGCCTGTGCATTAATCCATGCATGATAATAACATTAAAAATTCAAATCCAGATTTGAATTTTCAAAGATTTATTTAAAAAACGGATTATTTTTCCCAAAATGCAATAAAATCCATATAATCAATATAAATTGATTATTTTTCATATTGAAACTGTTGAAAATACACAACAAAGTAAGTTGATCCACATATGACAGCCTCTGAACTTGGTCAATACTATTCTTATTGATAGCTTACGTTTCTTCCCCACCGCAGAAACCACCACAGGTTCCTCAATGCTGTCACAATCATTATTTTTTTTTATGGCTGCATGATAAATCGCTTGCGATTATCATGCGCATCTCATCAGTAAAGCCGGTTCTGTGATTAGTAGTAAATCTAATTTTTTTTTATGACTGCATGATAAATCGCATGCGATTATCATGCGCATCTCGTCAGTAAAGCCGGTTCTGTGATTAGTAGTAAATCTCCATCACATGCTTTCAGATAGAGTGTCATTTAATACACAGAGCCGTAGATCACTGACAAGCTACGCAATATCGTGTTCATAATCGAAGGCGATTCATCTGCGATTATGAACACGATATTGCGTACCTTGTCAGTTACTGTTTACAACGCGTGGAATGGTGCGCTGTGATTGGTTGAGCGGCTGTATCGCATTCTGCAGAGAAGGGAGACTGGCGTTTGTTGCGGTTTGGAAAGACGGAGAAAACATGGCAGAATAACACGGCGGATATTGCATTTTGCGTAAAATTAAAAATTTAACTGGAACTCAGTTTTTTTTAATGGCTTTTATCGCGTTTTGGAACCAAACTCTCTCGCTCTTATGTATATATATTTTTTTTACTTTTAACTAAGCCTATTTGGCTGTGATAAAAAGGTTACCAGTGCATTGACACTGAGATTATCTTAAACAGCATATTTTGTGCAACAGCTACAGTCTGGACACACTTAGACATCAACACTCATCATACAAACCTCAACAACGGTGACAAAATAAGCTACTAAAATTCATTCTGCAGTGCATGCTGGGATAGATGAGTTTTGATTGCTGCACCCAGTTGTACTGCAGCATGAAGCATTTGTTGATTGTCACCATTGATGAGATTCATACAGTGATTCTTGATGTCTGTGTATGTTTGATTAATATGCTCAAAACTTGTTGTCCGGCAAGTTTTTTAAAATTCCTCAAATTATAAGATTGCCATAATACTGGAGCAAATGCTGCAGTATGACAAGAACGGTAATAAAAAGTTTAGATACACACTAAAACCTAACAATCAGTGATTAAGTTGCTGATGTGATCAGTGTATATACAATAATAATAATTCAAATAAACAAAAGGACTTCTCTAAAATCGAAGTTGTGCATGATGTGTTAGAAGTATTACTGAATATATTACAGTTGCCATAAAGAAAATGTGGGAGTACAATGTAATAACAATGTAACAATTCATAGTGAATATCCCATTTACAGCTTAAAATCATGTTTCCCCACTTAATTCACATCTTTACATTTTATTTGCATGATGAATTGCATGTGTTCAAATCTTGGAGTGCATATCTTTTTTATTATTATGTTTATGCACCTTTGAGACAGTCCCTTAAAGGGGTCATTTGATGCGATTTCAATTTTTCCTTTCTCTTTGGAGTGTTACAAGCTCTTGGTGCATAAAGAAGATCTGTAAAGTTGCAAAGACTAAAGTCTCAAATCCAAAGAGATATTCTTTAAAAAAAAAGTTAAGAGTCAGCCACGCCTACCTAAAACGGCTCGTTCTAACACGCCCCCACATGTCTACGTTATGATGTGGGAAGATTTGCATAACGCCGCCCAAATGTTCACACAAAGAAAGAAGGCGTAACTTTTATTCTCGCTGTAGTAGTGTTGCCGCCGCCGCCATGTCGTGAAGGTACTGTGTGATTCGTTGTGAAAGCGAAACTACTTTGTTTGGCCTTCCAAAAGAGGACGATATCCGTTTCGTCATGCCTGGAGCTGATCCGTGCTGGTCGCTGAGGAAATACAACAACTTTGCGTTGTGGATCGCTGGATCGGCTTTCACTGTGGACGAAGCAGAGTCCAGCCCGGGGTCGTCACATGTGGTTGCCGCAAAACACATCCAGACAAGCTAGATATTGTAACGATTATCTAAATGCTTGTAAACAGAAGAAATAAAACATTCATGCTTTGTAAGATGTCAGTGGGTTTCACTATTGTGATTTAGGTAAGAAAAAAAATCATCCCCCGGCCTCTGCTTGTGAAAGCGAAACTACTTTGTTTGGCCTTCCAAAAATGTACACAACTACAAATCAGTGGTTAAGTTGTATTTACAACACTGTTCCAGAACACGTCAACCCAAATATTCGGATGTGTCCAGCACATTTTATGGAGGACTTGAATCGTCGCTCCGACTGGACAGGGCATCATCACAATATGGTAAGGGGTGTAACATTTACATCACACGCTTGAGGTATTCGGCCAATCATAACACACTGGATAGCTGACCAATCACAACACACCTCGCTTTTCAGACCGATGAGCTTTGTTTCAGAAAGGCCGGGCATAGAGGATAAACAATAATGTACAGTATGTGGAAAATAATGTGTTTTTTTAACCTTAAACCGCATAAACACATTTCATTACACCAAATACACAAAATAATGTTCTTTTTAGCAACATCATATGACCCCTTTAATTTGCTCTGCGAATGTCTTACGAATGTCCAACATAAATCCAACTTTACCTCACCTACCATCAGCTAGCAGGAGCACAGTCTGGGTCTGCGAAACAAAACCAACCCAACCAATCCGTTATGGTCGAATATAGTGCTGCTAGTATCGCATCCTGATAGGTAGCATATAGGTAGCATATAGGCCTATTGTAAGAACAGAGGTGTTGTGCCGAAATGCATAACCTAGTGAAAAGTGTGACCAGGGGTTGCTCTTCAGCAAATGTTCGCGAAGGAGCGCACACACATTAGAGCAGACGCTGAAGCGGAATGGAGCAACATTGCACTGCTGTAAAACACGTCTAGACAAGCTAGATATTGTAACGATTATCTAAATGATTATCCTATCATACTTTGTAGGATGTCAGTTGGTTTCACTATTGTGATTTAGGTAAGAAAAAAAATCGGTAACACTTTACTTGAAGGGGTGTACATAAGACTGACATGACACCTTCATAATCATGACATGACACATGTCATGAATATGAAGGAGGTTTTATGCATGTTTATGACAACTGTCATTAAGTGTCATTCGCTCAGTTAAGTAATTTTTTATCCAAATATGACATTATTTGACCTAACCCTACCCCTACCCTTACCCCTAACCATAGCCCATAACAAAGACATCTCAAACAATGTCATCTATGCATTAAAAATTACATAACTGAGCGAATGACACTTAATGACAGTTGTCATAAACATGCATAAAAAACCCTTCATATTCATGACATGTGTCATGTTATGATTATGAAGGTGTCATATCAGTCTTATGCACACCCCTTCAAGTAAAGTGTAACCAAAAAGATCATTAAGTAAAACAATATCAACTTGAAATGAGTGCTCCTGCCAGGGCTTTGATACTGCTCAAAATTTCAGAACTTTCATGTGACTTATTCTTCTATTACAGTTAAAGCATCACTTTATATTTCTCAAGTGAACACACTAACATACTTGTGTCGCACAACTGCATGATAAATTGAGTGCTGACAGGAAAATTATTTTTAATTCATGCTTTATTTATCAATTTACTTTATGGACAAACCTATTGTTTTGCTATATAAGACATTAATTGATAAAAAGTTGCATGCATGACATTTGGACCCTCCAAAAGCAACGTGATCTCATGATAATTCGTATGTATTTTACGTAAAATGTGGTTCTATAAAACGTACATTTACTTACGTTTTTACAGGCACTAAAATGTACAATACTTACGTATTTTCAGCCTCTAAACGTAAGATTGCAGCACCATTTGCATGGAATGCTTCTACAGATGTCAAATTTCTTTCTAATAATGTTTGTGGTCTGCTGAAGAAAGGTATTGTACACATTTGGGATAGCATTCAAAAGGGCTCTTAGTTTATTGTTTTATTATTATTTATTATTTATTTTATTATTATTATATATTTTTTCTTGAGCATACTGAATGTTGTCACCTTGTGTAATATTTGTCTGTGAGTCCTTCAGTTGTCTTCAGTATGAAGATGTATCTCAAAATCATACAGTCACTGGAAAGGGTTCAAATATGCAGGAGATGCATATACTATGTTTAACTGCTCAGGACAAACAAGAGCCTCATGAACAATTATCACAAATATAACAACAGATTTTGATCTTGGTAGCGACACAGTATTAAGAATCAAGGTAAACTTTTGAACTGGTTCATTTGTGTATTATTGTAGTACTCTCATCAAGGCAAAGTGTTTGACATCTCAACCACACCTAATGGTGTTGCCATTAATGCAGAGGAACAGAGCAGCTTTATTTTTATATAATCTGCATTAATTGGGAAGAAATGGGGAATTGATTAAAAATTGTGATTAAATTCTTCTTCAGGTGCATCTGGTGTTGATACAGTTGAAGTGTCAGTGATGGAGGGAGAATCAGTCACTCTACACACTGGTGTTGAAACAAAACAACAAGAGAGAATCAGATGGTATTTCAATGACACTCGCATCGCTCAAATCACTGGAGATCCCAATAAGACCTGTACAGATGTTCAGTGTAATAAAGGTACTGAGAGATTCAGAGACCGACTGAAGCTGGATCATCAGACTGGATCTCTGACCATCATGAACATCACAACCACAGACACTGGAGATTATAAACTACTGAACAGAGCAGCTTTATTTTATATAATCTGCATTAATTGGTAAGAAATGGGGAATTGATTAAAAATTGTGATTAATTTCTTCTTCAGGTGCATCTGGTGTTGATACAGTTGAAGTGCCAGTGATGGAGGGAGAATCAGTCACTCTACACACTGGTGTTGAAACAAAACAACAAGAGAGAATCAGATGGTATTTCAATGACACTCGCATCGCTCAAATCACTGGAGATCCCAATAAGACCTGTACAGATGTTCAGTGTAATAAAGGTACTGAGAGATTCAGAGACCGACTGAAGCTGGATCATCAGACTGGATCTCTGACCATCATGAACATCACAACCACAGACACTGGAGATTATAAACTACTGATAAACAGCAGCAGATTTGTCATTGTAAAGACATTCAGTGTTACTGTCACTGGTGAGTATCATTTTAGTCATTCAGTGCTTTTGGTGCATCTGGTGTTGATACAGTTGAAGTGCCAGTGATGGAGGGAGAATCAGTCACTCTACACACTGGTGTTGAAACAAAACAACAAGAGAGAATCAGATGGTATTTCAATGACACTCGCATCGCTCAAATCACTGGAGATCCCAATAAGACCTGTACAGATGTTCAGTGTAATAAAGGTACTGAGAGATTCAGAGACAGACTGAAGCTGGATAATCAGACTGGATCTCTGACCATCATGAACATCACAACCACAGACACTGGAGATTATAAACTACTGATCAACAGCAGCAGATTTGGCATTGTAAAGACATTCAGTGTTACTGTCACTGGTGAGTATCATTTTAGTCATTCAGTGCTTTTTTACTTTAACCATTTTAGAAAACTTTTAAATTGTCCCAGTAATTGTTTTCCTGTGAACACTGCTGTTTCTGTTGCTGTTTAAACTGCTGTTCCTTACAAATCAACATCATACAACTTTCTAGTAAATATCAGTCAAAAGTGTTGGCATAGTTGTTTATTGGTCCATCTCTACTGAGTGTCTGGCTTTAGCTGTTCTAGATTCAACTACTGTTGCTGCTGCTGTTGTTGCTGCTGTTCTGCTGGTTGCGGCTGCTGGTGTGATTTACTGTTACTGCAGGAGATCAGGACAAGATGGCAAGTATTGCATACAGTTGATTTGACATGCTGGAATAATGAGATGTACTGTGTGAAAAAAAAAATTCTTAAAATCTTAAAGATAATCTTTAAAGATATGTTAAAGTATGTATATTTATTCTAACTGACCAAAGTAAAATGTTGTTGTTTTGTTCAAACAGGACAAATGATGCAGCACAACAATCCTGACCTGGTAAGACACTATGTACACAAATTAGACCAAAACAATATGATTTTATTATTATTATTATTATTATTATTATTAGAGTTAGAGTTTAGATTAAAGTTCTTATGCTGGAGTTTGTTTTGGAAGTTTGAAACAGCTTGCTTTGAACTACCATTGGTCTGTGGTGATTATGATATAGGTAGGTGTGGCTCTGGGGTTTCTTCGACATCGAAATCTTCTCCAGTTCATTTATTCTGTTCAGTCCCTCGAGATCAGACATCCGTGAATTAAAACATGAATACTCTGGAGAGCTGATTTATAGAAATTGAACATGTCATTCTGTCGAACTGAAAGCGACACTGACACTGTTTTTCATGTTCAATAGTGTAAAGCGGCTTGCTTTAAAGCTCTATTGTACAAAGTGCTATATAAATGCCAAATTGCAGCCCGTCCAAACATATCCACATCACTATGAAAAGATGCTTTCTAAACTGCTGTTTTCTCAGCACTGTTATTTGTGTTGTGTGTTTATTTTGCTATTGAGAGTAAAGTGCACAGCACATATTTGCATATTAATGTAAACGCCAATCTCAGCAGTGCAGGCGGCGTCAGATTGTTCGCAAACTGTATATCGCTGGTCACATATTTCAAACTTATGAATAAGGAAATGTACTTAACCATGAGTATATTGGGGCCTTAGGTGGTATGTAACTTCTGTGGATTATGCAGGGGGTTTTTCATTCAAAAATCATCACATATAAACACTAATAATACTTCTTTAAGAGAGCAGTGCTCTCGTGCTGTATTATTTCAGAATGAAGAACAAAGATCTTTACATTCAGCGATCATCTGAGAGGAAAAAAATGTGTTTGTAAAACTGAATCATCATTTTCCCCCCACAATCATTTGTTATTCAGTTCAGTATGATTTACATTCCCCCCCCCATTGGTTATTCATTTTATCAGTTACTTTCTACTAATCATCTATTTAAATACATCTCTTTTTTTTCTCCCACTAGGAATCGGAAGTGCAAAGTATTTGGTTTAAAATTAGTTTAATAGCACAACATGTGAATAAATGTTGCTTTTCAGACAAAAAGTCAAGAGGTCTTTTTTTATTACTTTCATATCCACAGTTCTGTAATCTTATGTGATGTTTTCCCCCAAAAGATCCTCCTGCAGCTGTTGGTTTGTGTTTCAGATGTTCCTGCTGCTGAACGAGATAAAATGAAGAGAAAGTCAGCGAAGGAGGGAGAATCTATTACTTTACATTCGGATGGAATAAAAAACCCAAATGATTTAAAGATGTGGTATTTTAATGACACACTCATCACTGAAATCACTGGAGATCAGAGTAAGATCTGTACAGATGATCAGTGTAAAGAGAGATTCAGAGACAGACTGAAGCTGGATCATCAGACTGGAGCTCTGACCATCACAAACACCAGAACCACAGACTCTGGACTTTATAAACTACAGATCAACAGCAGCAGATTCAACATCATAAAGACATTCAGTGTTACTGTCACTGGTGAGTATCATTTTAGTCATTCAGTGCTTTTTTACTTTAACCATTTTAGAAAACTTTTAAATTGTCCCAGTAATTGTTTTCCTGTGAACACTGCTGTTTCTGTTGCTGTTTAAACTGCTGTTCCTTACAAATCAACATCATACAACTTTCTAGTAAATATCAGTCAAAAGTGTTGGCATAGTTGTTTATTGGTCCATCTCTACTGAGTGTCTGGCTTTAGCTGTTCTAGATTCAACTACTGTTGCTGCTGCTGTTGTTGCTGCTGTTCTGCTGGTTGCGGCTGCTGGTGTGATTTACTGTTACTGCAGGAGATCAGGACAAGATGGCAAGTATTGCATACAGTTGATTTGACATGCTGGAATAATGAGATGTACTGTGTGAAAAAAAAAAAATTCTTAAAATCTTAAAGATAATCTTTAAAGATATGTTAAAGTATGTATATTTATTCTAACTGACCAAAGTAAAATGTTGTTGTTTTGTTCAAACAGGACAAATGATGCAGCACAACAATCCTGACCTGGTAAGACACTATGTACACAAATTAGACCAAAACAATATGATTTTATTATTATTATTATTTTCAGTGTTACTGTCACTGGTGAGTATCATTTTAGTCATTCAGTGCTTTTTCACTTTAATCATTTTAGAAAATTTGTAAAGTGTCCCAGTAATTGTTTTCATTGTAGCCTGTTTGAAGAAGTGAGTTTTGACTCAATATTACATTATAATTTAGATAAAAATCTATCATGTTTTACATGCACATCAATATGAAAATCAACACACTGAGTCTTTGTTATGGATTTTAAACTTTTGAAGTTTATTGTTAACAGAAAAAAAGTCATAATATTAGTCAGTTTTCCTGTGAACACTGCTGTTTCTGTTGCTGTTTAAGCTGCTGTTCCTTACAAATCAACATCATACAACTTTCTAGTAAATATCAGTCAAAAGTTTTGGCATAGTTGTTTATTGGTCCGTCTCTAATGAGTGTCTGTCTTTAGCTGTTCTAGATTCAACTACTGTTGCTGCTGCTGTTGTTGCTGCTGTTCTGCTGGTTGCGGCTGCTGGTGTGATTTACTGTTACTGCAGGAGATCAGGACAAGATGGCAAGTATTGCATACAGTTGATTTGACATGCTGGAATAATGAGATGTACTGTGTGAAAAAAAAAAAATTCTTAAAATCTTAAAGATAATCTTTAAAGATATGTTAAAGTATGTATATTTATTCTAACTGACCAAAGTAAAATGTTGTTGTTTTGTTCAAACAGGACAAATGATGCAGCACAACAATCCTGACCTGGTAAGACACTATGTACACAAATTAGACCAAAACAATATGATTTTATTATTATTATTATTATTATTATTATTAGAGTTAGAGTTTAGATTAAAGTTCTTATGCTGGAGTTTGTTTTGGAAGTTTGAAACAGCTTGCTTTGAACTACCATTGGTCTGTGGTGATTATGATATAGGTAGGTGTGGCTCTGGGGTTTCTTCGACATCGAAATCTTCTCCAGTTCATTTATTCTGTTCAGTCCCTCGAGATCAGACATCCGTGAATTAAAACATGAATACTCTGGAGAGCTGATTTATAGAAATTGAACATGTCATTCTGTCGAACTGAAAGCGACACTGACACTGTTTTTCATGTTCAATAGTGTAAAGCGGCTTGCTTTAAAGCTCTATTGTACAAAGTGCTATATAAATGCCAAATTGCAGCCCGTCCAAACATATCCACATCACTATGAAAAGATGCTTTCTAAACTGCTGTTTTCTCAGCACTGTTATTTGTGTTGTGTGTTTATTTTGCTATTGAGAGTAAAGTGCACAGCACATATTTGCATATTAATGTAAACGCCAATCTCAGCAGTGCAGGCGGCGTCAGATTGTTCGCAAACTGTATATCGCTGGTCACATATTTCAAACTTATGAATAAGGAAATGTACTTAACCATGAGTATATTGGGGCCTTAGGTGGTATGTAACTTCTGTGGATTATGCAGGGGGTTTTTCATTCAAAAATCATCACATATAAACACTAATAATACTTCTTTAAGAGAGCAGTGCTCTCGTGCTGTATTATTTCAGAATGAAGAACAAAGATCTTTACATTCAGCGATCATCTGAGAGGAAAAAAATGTGTTTGTAAAACTGAATCATCATTTTCCCCCCACAATCATTTGTTATTTGTTTTCTTTCTTTCAGGAGAATAATGGAGAACCATCGCCCCTTATTCCGACTGAGACTCTACAGATGTGTGTTGCTGATAGGACATCCCTTGATCAGACTGATACTATGAAGACGGGTGCTGCTGGAGGGGTATCCACTGATCAGAATAAAAACACACTGACGGGTTCTGCTGGAGGGG